GCAGCAGCAGCAGCAGCAGTAGCAAGCTGCAAGTACAGCGGCGGTTGCTGTAAGAATTTGTCAACGAGGGTATTGTAGTTCACAGTGATTGGTCGCAGTTGGGGGTCGACATCGTCGTCGTCGTCGTCGTCGTCGTCGTCGTCGTCGTCGTGTACCTTGTTGTTCTTCGTCGTGGGGACTCGCAGCAGTAACCGTCCTCCGTCGTGCTTGTGCTGATGAGAAGAGCAATGGTTAGAGCAGTAACCCGCATGGGGCCCCAAAGCCCCAAACCCCAAAAGCAGTGAACCCTCAGTCTCTGAGGCTACCCACCGGGCTACCCTCCTCCGGCGAGCTACCCACCGGGGCCTCCTCCCGCGGGCTATCCGCCACCAGCGGGATACCCGGCTCCGCCGCCGCCCATGTGAGCTAGCTCCTCCGGGTGTTTCTTAGGCTCAGGGTGGAGGTTTCGGGTCGTAGCAGGTACTAGAAAGGCTGAGTTGTAGGCTTGCTGATAGCTTTCTGCGCAGGTGTAGGATGTCATTCCGCACCGAGCGCTTTCTGCTGCAGCCCGTGTCAGCAGTAAGCTGGACCTGCGAGCTTGATTGTATCCGGCATGATGCCCACATTGCAAGAGCCCCAGGTACTTAAACTCACCAGAACCCATTCCCTCCGAAACCATTGAAGCAGAACCTGGAAAGCGAGGGGCTCTGTAGATTTCGATGCAGCTCTCAGTTCCGCAGTGGCCGAGCAGAACTGCGGAGCCCGGTGCGAAAGATGCTGCAGATCAGTCTGAGAAGCTCTGAATGTTCTACCCGCACCAGGCAAAAGGGCACGTGCACCGAGTGTCTCAACATCAGGGACCCCTTTTGACTCTTTCTAAGGTCTCCCTGTTGTTTTCTCGGGTGCTTCTATGGTTCTTTCCTTCTCTAGGGCGCAACATGGGGCTTGAGACAGCATCGCCGCATTTCTGGGGGTTCGAGAGGGGACCCTGTTATTTCAGCAAGAGCCGACATCGGAGCGGAGGTGACGAGAGCTCTCGAAACAACAGATTCTGGGTTTGAGGTTTAGGTTCTGGGTTTATGGTCTTAAGACAACTCCTACTTTCGAAACGTGGACTCCGCACGCTAACCAAGAACATCTGGGCAGGGTGTTGGGTGACCTCCGCCCAGCAAGACCACACATGCGTAGTTCTCTAAATTGGGGTCCCTTTTAGGGTCCTTTTTATAAGGCTGCTGTTCTATGTTTGGGACCTAAAAAGGGACCCTAGTTTAGAGAACTACCCACATGGAATGTAGACTCATACTCAGACAAGTGTGAGTCGTGGACGTAGCTAGGAGCCTGGAAGGTGGGACATGCGATCCTGGGCAGTTGACGCTCGTCAGTACGCTCGTGTAGGGTTTAGGGTTTAGGGTTTAGGATTTTGCTAGTTACGGGATTTGGGGCTTCGGCGTAAGCCTTGCTGCAAGCACGGTCGTTTGGATCATCCCATCTTCCCAGGAAATCAGTTCTTAACGTGACGCGTTATTTTCAGCTGCAGCGATAGAGCGCACCTTGTTGTCCACGGTCTTTCTGCCGATGCAATACTTTCTTTCCGTTCTGCTCCATGTTTACGATCACTTGCACGGTCAAAGCATGTTTCTATCATGTTTTTGTTCAGATCTTGCCAAAGCGCTAGCCGCGCGTCGGTCGCACGGAGCATGCTGCCACACACTGGAAGAGATGCTTGCAGCTGGAAGTGGCATTCTCATGTCAGGGATGGGCATGTGCCTTTGTGAAAGCAAGGTAGGTCGGATTTCCCCTTTGTCGTTTCTCATGCATCTTGATATGTCTCGATTTTGTCCTACACTGTCTGCAGACTCGTTGTCTTGAAGATAACCGCACACTGAAAACTGAAGATGCCCAACTTGGGCCCGGAAGCAGTGGACAGTCTGGGCATGGGGCACGGTACGCGTGCCTGTCTTCGCGGAGTATTGGTTGGCTAGAGAAAAGGGGGAACTCCCACAAAAGGCGCAACTAGCACCCCAGTCTGCCGCAGCCGCGCGGGGAGGAAAATGAGTGCTGTTGAGAAAGGCGCTTGGCTGGAGAAACTGCTTCTGCGGAGCGATCGCTTGTGTTGCTTCAGCATCTGCAGGGAAAAAGGCTGCCCACAGGCTACAGCAGCCTGAGGGGTACAGGCAGAGTAATGCAGGAACTTGATTAAACCAAAAATCTCCAAGGTAGGATCCACTTATGTCGTCTATGTATACGGACCCTTATAGGAAGCAGTGGATTTCTTGATCTGGTTCCTGCATTAGCTACCATTCACAGCCCTCCACTCTTGAAGAGAAAGACAAGAACAAGGCCTAGATGCCACGGCGCTTGTTGGTGTGGTGCCGCCAGATTGCAAGCACTCTTGAAAAGGCGGTGAGTCAGTGACCAGCACCTGTGCGGCGAGGGAAACGATCGCACGTGAGGTTTCCCTTTGACTGACTGAAACTTGGCAGTTTTGGGCAGTGCCTGTATGAAAGTGTTGAAGCGTGCCGGTGAGATTCGTCACATCTGCCCATTTTGGTTTCCTTGCTCGGAGCTTCCAAGTTTCTTCGGGCCGTGCATGCGAGAGACAAAGGCAGCCTTTCCTACCACAGCCCCCTGTCTTTGATCTGTCGTCCTTTGCAGTCATGACGGCAGTGCGTCATGTCTACTGTGGAAGGAAGGGAACTTCGGGCACTTCTTTGCTAGTCTCCAGTCTCCTGGTTCCGCTCGCTCTGACCCTCTCCGGTTCGGAGCAGAGCGGCACCTTGCCATGGACGTCATGAGGCGACAGGAGACTGGCACACCAACCTACGCTTCTGCGAGTTGGGGTGGGGAGGGGGGCGCCATGGGAGCAAACACTCGAGCTCCCTCCCCGCCCCATGTCAGAGACGTCGTGCATCCCATGACCACGGCAATATCTGAGGGGTTCCATGGACACGGATGCATGGCCGTTCTGGAGCTGGAGTAGCAGGGCAGCCCTTCCTTGACGAGTGAGGGAGGTCGAGCTTTGGATGAAGTACGTAGTGAGTTTTATCTTTGTTATGTAATCTATAACATGTCTGTAGCAAGTCATATTACAGTGTACTGTGTTGTACGGCTCTTTTATATTCTGTTTGGGTTTGAGAGATGCGATGCCACAGCTGCACAAGAACCATGCGCTATCCTTCGCTGGCATGCCAAAAAAGCCCACCGTTGCAGAGGTCTTGGGGATGTCAAGGCTTAGAGTGCAGTGAACATCTCATGCGCATTATGGCTGCTGTTGTCGTTGTCGTTGTCCTTGCCCTTGCCCTTCTCCTTGTCCTTGTCGTCGTCGTCGGGTGTTGCAAACCTTAATTTTGGCACCGGAGACAGAGAGAGAAGAGCCTTTTAGGTCCAAGACCAGCTACCCATAGGCCCCAAAGTAGTTCCTTCTTGGGATTACCTAATAGGATCCTAAATATAAGCCACAAAAAGGAACTACTAGGGGGCCTATGGGTAGAGCCCTAAACCCTAAACCCTAAAACCTAAACCCTAAACCCCTTTGGAGGCCCTGCCGAGCTCCGCGCCACATCGAGCAGCCAAGTTGCCAGCCGTGAGGCCCCGGTGAACTGCTGCCACCCACCTTTGCAGACAACTTTGGGGTTTGGGGTTTAGGGTTCCGGACGTAAAGCAAATTATTACCCTTAGGCCCCATGGTAGTTCCTTTTTGTGGCTTATATGTAGGATCCTACTAGGTAATCCCGAAAAGGAGCTACTATGGGCCTATGGATAAGGCCCCTATATTAAACCAAGGCAAGAAGAAGCTCAAAGGCCCGTCAGAAGGATCGAGCGCAACGTGGAAGCTGCGAAAGGCGGTTCTGCACATGGGTAGTTCTCAAAATTAGGGTCCCTTGTGGGGTCCTGTTTATAAGGGTGCCGTACTATAATGGGGACCTAAAAAGGGACCCTAATTTAGGGAACTACCCGCATGCAGAGCTATCAAATGATGTAGCGACATGCGGATTGCTCTCTGGGCATTCGTCAAGTTTTGGAAGCTTCTGGACGGACATGCCGATGGCACATGGCTCTCTAAGTTGTCACCACAAGACTTCTGCATTGGCCCGACACCTGCACCCAGGGGCACAACAGCATGCAGTGTGCAGCAGGGCGGGGGTTCGTAGCAGCCCAGTTCAGACAGATTCATCTTCACAGCTTTGCAATCCCACTCGAGCAGCACTCGGTCTCTAGGCCTCTTTCGTTGACTGGAACGGCTACCGGGTCAAAGCAACACTCGTCGTGAGCCATGTCGTACAAGGGCAACAAGAAATGGCCAGGGATGGTCCGGAGCTAAGACGTGCCTGTCCCAAGTTCCATGCCAAGAGGCACGGTTTTGGCACTCCCTCTAAAGAGGCCTGAGACCAACGCCCGCGACCCTGAGATACCCCTACGTTAAACCAACAGCCGAGCCCCTCAATCCTAACTCCCAAAGCCCCAACCCTACACCCTTAAGCCCCAAAAGCCTAAACCCTAAACCCCAGAACTCCTAGACCCAACTCCCAAGACTCCTAAACCCTAAACCCGAAACCCACCACCCAAAGCCCTAAACCCCAACATCCTAAATCCTACTTGGAGGTTTATGGTTAGTAATAAGTAGGGTTCAGGGTTTAGGGTTTAGGCGCTCTCGTATACAAGGAATTATATCCACGCTTGTAACTGCCCATGAACGGTTAAGTAAAGACAAAAGGAGGAGTCAGACGAGTCCTTGCCCGTGGCTGATCAAGCTTGAACCAACTGCTTAGGTCTGCATCTGGGTTTGGGGTTCAGAGTTTAGGGTTTAGGGCTTCGGGTTTTTGGGGTCCAGAGTTTAGGATCGGGTTCAGGGTTTACCCTAAACCCTA